AGTAAAATACCGTAAAATACGCCACTGATATTCCCCGTATTTCACTATAGTGAAATATGAAATCATATCTTACGCGGGAACGTCTCGCGCGGGACTGACGCTAATTCCCGCCATTTTGCCGTTTCTGTTTTGAATATACAATGTGGCAACTCCTCGACATTTTGTTGATGTTTCCGACGCTGATTTATATATATATATATATATATATATATATATATATATATATATATATATATATATATATATATATATATATGTATATATATATGTATATATATATATATATATATATATATATATATATATATATATATATATATATATATATATATATATATATATATGTATATATATATATATATGTATATATATATATATATATGTATATATATTTATATATGTATATATATTTATATATGTATATATATATATATATATATATATATATATATATATATATATATATATATATATATATATATATATATATATATATATATATATATATATATATATATATATATATATATATATATATATATATATATATATATATATATATATATATATATATATGTATATATATATATATGTATATATATATATATGCCAATAAATATGCAAATATTACAATTATGATTCCTAATTGAGCTTAGTGATTATGATTCCTAATTGAGCTAAGTGATGAACAAAGAAGTCACTGTTGCACACAAAATTATGACTATCAAATAACCTTCCCCGATTAGCCAAAAGAGTCCCAATTCAGAAGTTTTCACATTACAACAGATTACCATTTCCACAGCCCCCAGCTGATCATTCATATTTGACAATTTATGCTGATTGATCAGCGTTGTGGTAATCTGTTGGAATGTGAAAACTTCTGGTTTGGGACCCTTTTGACTAATCGGGGAGGGTTAAATGATAGTCATTTTGTGCAACAGTGATATCTTTGTTTATCACTAAGCTTATAGGTAGTTATCATAATTGTAATATTTGCATATTTATTGGTGTATATATATAGGTTAGTAATTATTAGCAATAATATTTCTGAGGAAGGCTGAGACATTCAGTCGAAAATTAAAGCTTTAGTACTTTAGTATATTTTAGTATTGGTTTCTCTTGAATCGTAGCCAGCTATTCTGTTGTAAATAAATGTCGAACTGTCTGATACGACCATTGTATTTTGTCATATATATATATATATATATATATATATATATATATATATATATATATATATATATATATATATATATATATATATATATATATATATATATATATGTATATATATATATATATACAGGGTGTATCAAAATAAACACAATTCAT